ATAAATTTAGCACTTCCAACATATTTTTTTTCTGCTATCAACTAATTATAATGTAAAACAAAAACCAGAAATAAATGTGTGCATTATCTTCGCCCCCCAGTGGCACAGCGGTATGTCTGTGAACTTACAACGCTAAAATCCGGGTTTCGATACCCGTGGTGGGCAGAGCACAGTGTTGCTTTCTGCTCAACCACAAACAAACAAATTTAAAAAGTAAAATTTTCAAAATTATGATGTTTTTCACATTTCCCTAGGTGAATGTAGAGAGATACTCAAATGCGTTAAGCGATGATTATACATCTGCTTATCTGATTCTTTTACAAGAACAGTAACGTTGTTTTTAATTAGTGAGCCGAGTTATTCTCGTCGGCGAATCAGATAATGCTTGCGAATGGAATCCTTTTTTGATCTTCACTGCCCATTGGCCAGCTGATCTAACAAGAACCAATCACTTTAGTTAAAAACTTGAATGTTTATTGAAATGTTTACGACACTGTTTGGGGCTTAGGAGAGCAGATTTTATATAAAATATTCATAGCATTTAAGAGATTACACAGTTTAACGTTTCCAGTCATTATTTGACTTTTTATACCATTGTTAGGATGTTTGATGTTGGGGGACAACGTGGAGAGCGACGTAAGTGGATTCAAGTATTTGATGGTATTACAGCCATTTTATTCCTCATATCATCTTTTTATACCATTGTTAGGATGTTTGATGTTGGGGGACAACGTGGAGAGCGACGTAAGTGGATTCAAGTATTTGATGGTATTACAGCCATTTTATTCCTCATATCATCGTCGGGTTTCAACCTGAAAGTTCGAGAAGACACCGACAAAAACCAGCTTAAGGAATCCATTGAATTGTTCCAAGATGTTTGGTCAAGCAGGTAAGTTTATGGTTGTCTAGTTACGATTGGAATATTGCAAAGTTAAGATATTAAGATGTTAATATATATTATATTTCATAAGCTATTCATTATTAAACATCGCAACTACTGTTGCTGTATAGTTATTAAATAGACACAAAATAAAATTGGTCCCAGCTACAACATCAACTATTTCGAAAGGCCCAAGTTTGTGATTTATCTTCTAAGACGAGACATGCGTAACATGTGGTTTCTAACTCGAAATGTGGTTTTATCACTATTTCCATTTAGCCCACAAATATTAGTCTGTCTGAACAATACAAAAAAAAAATGTTGACTTACTTATGTACATTTTTCACGCAAACAAATAAGGCCCTAACTCTGTTGTTCACTTACTTATGCTATAATTTAAATGAAATAATAACCTCATTTAGAGGTATCGATGTTTGTGTATATTTGATGACAGCCTGTATTGAAATAGTTCACTTGATGTTATTATTTTCTTACTTCAAAAAAGCAAACTTATAAATGTGAAAAATACAACTAGTTTAATAAATGTGAAAAATACAACTAGTTTAATAAATGTGAAAAATACAACTAGTTTAATAAATGTGAAAAATACAACTAGTTTAATAAATGTGAAAAATACAACTAGTTTAATCTTATCAATTTCCCTGTTGTACCAGAATCGAATTCATATCCTCAAAACGAATGAAAAAGGGGAAAAAATACATCATAAAGTTAAAGTGCTTACAACTTTTGCTTTGTATTGTTGTAAGCTATGTTTACAACATTGTAATTTATTCGTTAGCTAGATGGAGCCGGAGGTCGTAATGATGATATTAACATCGAAAAGTTTAATAATGTAGGCCTAGAATGTTCTAAAACCATTTTGCACAAAGATTTTCTAGAAAATTCGAGGGTATGATATATACGAGATACAAGATTTAATGAAACATCAAAAAAGATACTAGAGGTGTTTCTAGCCAGTAGAGTGACTCAGTCATTGTATATTCGTTTCAGGCGTGAAGTGGTACAAGTAAGTTTTTATTTACGTTAGTGTAACGCAAGTAGCATCATTTATTAACGTGGCCTACAAATTCCACAGTGTTCAAGCTTGTAAAATCGTTAATAAATAAATAAACTAAATTTGTTATCGTTACGTAGTCTGAACGCTGAATTATTGAACTAAATACACAGTGGTCAGCTTCAACATATTGTACCTACATGCAACACAGAAAATATTGTTACTATCCAACATGATGAAGAAATTATCTCATATAGACCAAAGTATAAAATATTATTATACCACGTTTAATGAAAAATCAATTGAGTATCTCGACCTGGAATGGCCTGGCATGACCTAATGGTAAGAACACTCGACTAGCAACCTATGGGTTGCGGAATCGAAACCCGCTAATCGAAAATGCTAGCCCTTTCAGTCATGTGGGCGTTATAATGTGCCTTTCAGTGTTATTATTAAAAAGTAAATAAAGAGATTGCGGTAGATACTGCTGACCGGTTTCATTCCCTCTGGTCAGCAGCTCAAAATTAGGGACGGCAGCAGATAGTCTTATCAGCTTTGCCATATAACGAAACGAAACGGAATAGACATAGACAATAACACACGAGTGTACTCTTCGGACTCAATTAAAAATAATCTGTAACCGCCAGTAAAAGGCCAATAATTATTATGTATATAGTTTGATAATACTGCCTAAAATTTAGAAATATTTAATAGTTACAAATAATTATTATGACAGGTAGAAAAATTTTGTGAACAACATATGCAACCTAACCTATTTTACGGATTTTAAAAAGATCAAACTATTTTTTATTTCAATTATAGGTTTCTCCGAGAATGTGGATTTATCATATTTTTTAATAAACAAGACTTACTCAAAGAGAAGATAGCGTCGGGAACAAAGATAGCAAAATATTTTCCGGAATTCGACACTTACAATCTAAGTATTCAAGGTAAGAAAAATGGTACAAGAGCCATTATAATGTTCTGTCCAGTGCGATATATGTCTGTCTTCTGTACCATGTCAAAATCACAAAGGTTGATACCAACGGGTACAAAGAAGAATGCAACTTGTAACTCCTTTGAAGAGACGCGAACTCTTTCTTAAACGAGAAGTACAGCACCACGCATCTTAGTCGTGTATTAAGATATACATATGTTTCTGTACAAGCTTGCAGAATTACGATCTTTCTTACCTTATACGGTATCTTGAATTTTTCTAAACAATGAAATTAATTCAGCCCGAATAACAACTACACAAAATATTCATATTCCATGCATACTCTTTGGCATATTTGCCCAACTAACGATGGAGAATTTCAGTCAAATCAGAGAACTGGAGGTTGAGCAATAGTAGCGATTTTAAGAGCTTTTATTTAAATCCACGTTCATCCAATCAAATTATCTGCAAAAAATGGTGTAACGTGGGAAAGCAGGCCTAACTATAAGCTATTCTGCTGGTGTAGGTTATATTATATATCCTCACTTTACTGCTATGGGTTGAATCAGTTACTGTGCTGACAGATCAGTCAATAACACAACCCTCCTTCTTCCGCTTTCTATTCTAATTACTAATTAAAATAGGCCATTTTCATTTAAGAAATGAACAGTGAGAAATCGTATGTTCGATCTGTATCGGCAACAACCGGGCGAGCTAAGTCATTGGCAAGAAAATGACCAAATAATTTGAATATGTCTTAGATCCAAGGAGTTAACCAATCTGTCTATTTTATCGGCCCACTGTCGAAACTGCTACCCCTCTCACACACCAGATAAGTGCTCTACCAACTGAGCTAAAGAATTTAACCCCGCTAACTTTTGCTAGTAAGGCACTTTTTAACAACTCAAATGAACACAGTTTTGTTACTGTATAGATCTAGCTGAGAATGTAGTATTTATTCTCATCAATTCAAATGCGTCGATTGCAAAAAATAACCATTAAGATCTAAATATGCCTGCAACAGGAAACTGGATCGATGTAGTTTTGTCGATATACAATTATGTAAAATGTTTGTTTTTAAGCACAAATCTACACAATTGGCTATCTGTTCTCTGCCCACCATTTTTAGCGTCACAAGCCTGCAAACTTACCACTGAGCCACTTAAGTATTTGAACCAGTTGGAAAATTCACTCTTAATTTCTCTTTCGTAGAAATAACGCAAGTCTTCTCTTTTATTTACAGACATATTTTTTTAAATTATTTTTATACATGTACACACCGTGGTCACAAGTAAATAGAGACACTACCTTTTCAGCAAAAAAATTAAATTTTCAGTCATATTCACATGAATATTTATAATTTAGTTAATATCTAGTACATCTTCCTTTCGTGGAGTTCGTTGAT